AGCGAAGCGCCCAACAACTCCCCCCCCCCCCCCCCCCCCATTTCCCTGCAAGACCTGGCTCAGTCTCTCACAGAGAGAAGCAGATGGAACAGCAGAGCTGAGTGTGCACCAGAACCAGTGGGAGAAGGGCAACCCCCCAGCATCCCTCTCACTAAGTGCTTGTGTTGGATTTTAACATGGCAATGTATTGTTGTTTTATTAAGCATTTCTTTACTGAGCTGCTTTATAGAAACTCAGAGCACAGAAGACACTTTGTGGAGGTTTTTGTAGAAAAATGTTTCTGTTTTCATAATCCCTGAAGTCTGGTGCATGCTTTATGTCCAGGAAGCAAATTGAACTGAAATACTTTTACAACAAGCAATTAGTGCTGACATTGTGTAAAAGACACTGTGCAGCCAGCTTGATGCTCCCACAACAAGGACTGACAGAGGGGCTTTGGTACTTACGCTTTGAACACAGGTCTCCCTGGTAGCCTTTGGAGCACTTGCATTTATTCTTACCAGTACATTTGCCTCCATTTCGACAGGGCTGATGACATTTACCTAGAAGTTGAAAATATTTTTTAAATTGTCTTAGTCCCCAGCACCTACTGGAGTCAAGCATCTAAGGAGCCTGCCTTGTGCTCAAAAAACTCATTGGATGCTGGTGTGAGAGTGTGCACTATGGATTCATCAGGAAGACTCTGTTGCAAGTCTGTGCTTCCAATTAAAATGTATTCTTCTGCTTTGAAAATGATAATAATTTGGCACGGCCAAAGCCCATGCCAACTAAGACCTGCACATGACAATTTAAGCATCAACACTCACTTGCTGCGCTGAAAACCTCAGTAAATGCCCTCATTTCCTGATCACAGCCAGCCCTCTTGCAAGCTCAATACCCCAGGTAGTGCCTGCTCAGCTCTCATCCCCAGAAGACCTCTGCAATACCATTTGTTCCTAATGTGCATAATTCTTTTAATAGCCCTGAAACAAACTTCATAACCAGCCAACCAAACAAACCATGCCAAGGAGAGTTTCTGCAAATGCATGATTTCCCCACAGGAGATTCTGGAGAGGGAATCTGTAGTTATTTGAATTTGCAAGTCTTTAGATCTCAACTAATTAATGACCCAAAGGAACAATGCTAAGGAAATCCAGGAATTTTCCTAGTTCTTGAAGTAAATCTGGAGGAGATAGGTCAAGGGGTGTGAAACCAGCTTCCATAGTGTTGCGTTACGCAAACATTTGGCTCAGCACAGCTCAGTTCACTTTGGACTAAGATATTTTCACAGAATGAAGGAAAGAGTAATAACTCCCCTTGTTATTGTGTGAGAAAGAAAAAGCAACAGAACAGTTGGTCACAAGTGGGGGAGGAATCCAAAACAAAATCAAACTCTCTGGACTCAAACTAAATCACTAATTAGAGACAATGCACAACTATAGCTACAAAAAATCTGCAAGACTGTGAATGCTTGTTAGTATTGTAGACTGGGTCCAGTACCTTTCCCAGGAGGCTTAGAGAGTGATTGAACTACTATACAAGCACTCAAAATCTTTAAACAACATTAAAAACAAACACACAAACAAACAAAAAAAAACAGCACCCACCAAAACAAACAAAAAAACCCCAAACCAAACAGACCAAAAAAAACCCAAAACACTCTGCAGTTTTCAGAAGATGGCTTCCTGCCTGTTGAAAGGCTTTCTCCCTTTGTTATTTCAAGGCCCCCATGACTGAATGTAGTTGGCCCTGAATCTAAGAAAAGTGAAGGAGTTGTGTTTCTAAGCCTTGTCTAGCATTTTATTGCAGACTTCCACTGTTGTGCTGCCACTGCTGCAGTGCTCAGAGGTGGCAGCAGCCACCAATCAGGGTCTAACAATTGCCATCCTAGCTTTACAAAAGCCATAGCAGGTGCATAGCTTTCCTTTCTTTCTTTTGTACAGAAACTAGTTACTGCCTTTATTTTATTTAATTCCATTTGAGTCGAAGAGGTTAGCCTTTCCAAGAAGCCAAGGTCAGTTGTACCTATCCCAAGTAGTAGTAAACAATGAGCTCAAGAGACCCTGGGATAGACCGGTTAAGTGGACCACCCTTAATTATACCTGCTGTAACATCACTTCTAAGAATTGTCCTCCAAAAACCACCACTGACATAAAATACATGCTTCTCAAACTTTGAAACAAACCTTATTCATCATATGAGAAGCATCAACAAATTTGACTTCTTGGGGACAGAAGAAAAAAAGTTATGTTCTGTCAGTGTCAGATTTGAACTTGATGTAAGTAAAGTCAGCAGAAATCCACACGGTTCTTGCTGACATCTTATCTGAATTTATATTGAAGAGCAATCTTTATTAATTTTATAACAATAAATATTGACTGCTTTTGTTTGGCTCAAGTTTTGATTAGGTAAAAAGGAGTTGCAAAATGCCTTGCAATACATAGATATATTGTGAAACATTTACATACATCTACTGTTCATTTACATGTAAACACTGCAAAATGTAGGTCTACACTATCTATGTTCTTTCTTTGCACAGTAATTAATTTATTGTCCCATATTAGCATTAAAGTTTATTTCCATGTGTTCCAAGTATTTTATCATACAATTTCGTAACTGTGAGAAGAGCCTGGCCCAGCTGATGCACATTAAGAAATGAACTCTTACACATCCCAGTCTAAATGCTGCTCTCTGTGCTCCTGTGAAGGCACTGAGGAACGTCGGTGAGATTATTTACAGCAGGGGAAGCTCCTCACACAGCATCCTGTTAGAGGGTTTAAGCTCAGAAAGAATGACCTGGGTGTATGTTCTCAAAACTGAAATGCTCATATTCTGTTCAAGTGTGGGGAACTATAGAATTAATCCAGTCTAACAGGGCTGTGAGAAAACTCTTCTTTTAGTGAGATCAAATACTTGACAGCTGACCTCCCAGGTCTGTTCCAGCCTGGCCATATCTCCACCCCCAGCTTTACACAGCACACTTAGATCAACCATGAGCTAAAATATTTTGAACTGCTTTGATGCTAAACTTCTGAAAATAGCAAGTCTTTTGATGTTTGTGACATGGATTTTCAAGATGCCTTGTGAATGCAACTTAATACCTTATGTGAAAGTTCTCAGCTCTTATGATTCACTCCTCTCTTTGCCCCAAACCCTTCCATTCCCAGCTTATAGTCACCCTTTCAGAGGTGCAGGCTTGAAGTTCCTGAGTGTGAATTGCTTTACTTTTGAAAATAGCTGCTCCACACAGGCTCACACAGCAGCACATCTGCCTGCCACAGAGTATTGCTCCCACACTTTTGGCTTGGGGGGTTGCTGCCAGGCCCAGTTACTCATACAAACACAGCAAGATAAGTGATGAGATGGTCTCCTCATGAGTCAGACTTACCAGTAAAAAACACATTGGGAGTCATGTGGCATCTGACTGTCTGAGTGCCCCAACCTGCCGTGTGAGACCCTCACTGAGAGCCCAGCAGAGGCAGGTGGCATCACTCAGACACTAACACTAGAATAAGATCATGTAAGCAAAACCAAACACACCAACATGCTACTCACTAATTTCACACTGGTCTCCTTCATAGCCCGAAGGACAAATGCATTTTCCCAGATAGAAACATGTTCCTCCATTGAAACAGGTTGTTGTACAGTTTGCTGAAACAAAACAGGAATGAACTAAATAATGAATATAAACTCAATCTGACTCGGCCTTAATGTTTTCTGCTGCTCGTCATAAATAAACATGGAGTAGCTTTTAAAAAGTTGCACCAACATCTTTTCATCTGGTTTACACAGAGAGACCTAAATGCATTTTTCTCTCCATAATGTTTTACATGGACACACACACACAAAGTCAATACAGAAAAAGACAAGTGAGCAATACAGCAATGAGATCCCCAAAGACAGATTGTATTACATCTTTATCAATCTTCACAGCAGTTAGTGCAAGCATACCTAAAGGCCTAGGAAGGTTCCCATTATTTTGCTGGGAAGTCCAGAAGGACTTTTTGCATTTAGTCTATTTCATATAGTCCTGCAAGAATACATGCAACCTGATGTTCTGTAACTGTCTCTTCCGTGAGCAGGTCAGTTATATTTCCGTAGGAAACTACTTGTTTTTTAATATGTGGTATTTTGGACTGTTCAAATTACTGTTCTGAACAACTGGCTTTTCCTTTTTATCCTTCCTGAGCCCCAGTGCAGCAACAAAAATGAAGAGACCACTTATTTTTTCATGTGTCCAGATGCAGCATATTAGTGTGCTAACTATTTAGTAAAACTAATTTTACTCCAGGAAAATTACTACAGTTCAGAGTGAGGGTTTTGGTTTTTTTCCTAGACCAGAAATAGAAGTGAATTTTGTGGTAGGCCCCATAGCTTTCAATGGATCAACTAAAGAGATTATCTAAACTATCCTTCACTGAGCTAGTTTATCTGGATTCCTGCACATCACTCTGTGAAAGCACTTCCAGCAGCATCCAGATTGGGCTGTAGCATCTATTTGAAGAATCACAAAATGACAGCTTTTCAAACTTACTCCATAATTTGCCTGATTTTCCAAAATCCGGTCCTAGAGGGAAACCAACAGAAGGGAATAAAGAGAGGCTGCTGGACAGGGAGCCCGGGGGGGTTACCTTTGTCGCAGTTGATGCCGTAGAAGCCCGGGGGGCAGATGCAGAGTCCAGGTGTAATGCAGAGCCCACCATTCATGCAGCGAGGAGCACACAGTGCTGAGCAGCAGGAAGAACAGAAAAAAACATGGCTGGTGTGAGAGTGACTGGCTATTGGAATGCACAGCATGTTGTCTCCTCAAGCTACTTTTCCTTTTGCTGAATGTAACCATTCACCTTTGCAAAGTATCTTTGTGAGTTAAGCCGATCAGATCTCTGGTTTGCATCTGGCAAATTGTATAGAGTGTCATTAAAAAAAGTGAAGACTACACTAAGTTGAAACCTGGTTCCATATGTAAGCAGAAATTACTTCTTATACAGTTTAATTCCAAAGTGGGGACAGCAAAGTGCCCACCTACACCCCCTGGATATTTGAATTTTCCCGCAGATGATTCCTCTCTATAAGAGGACTTCGGTGTTGCAGCTGGTGCCTCTGCTCTGTAGACAGGTCTTTAGGCCTTGTGCTCAAAGGTGTCAGTAATTCAGTGGCATTCCCAGGCAGGCTTTGCAATGAACTCTGCCTTCTCCCTTTGCATACCTGAGCATAAGCATCAATACCTATTTTAGGGTAGGGAAGCTTGTCACATAGCCTGGTTTGGTAGCCAAGCTGTCCCCCTGAACTTTCTCCAGTTTCTCCCAAGACTTTTCTGCAGTAGTGACCAGCCCACAAGGCTCTTCAAGGGGGGCATGTCAGGGAGCAAGGTTTCATTTCGTGGTTGCCCACAAGTGATACATGCAGCAGCGAGGCTGGATCCCTACTAGTGAGTTAAACAGCACCTGGGCACGGGGCCAAGTAAGGGCATTGCATCATCCATCTCGTGAAACTGTTGGTGCTGTTCCTGGCACAGCTCTGCCCCTGGCTGACTGGCAGAGCCTCTCAGGCACAGCCTTGGGGAGAGCAGCAACCACAGGCTCCTCCCAGCAGAGAGTTTGAAGGGTGTTGGGTTTTTTTGAGGGTAAGAGAGTTTAATAAACATATGAATGCAAACTGCACCATGCCAGTTGGCTTTCAGGCCACAGAACAGTCCCTGATCCTTTGTACTTCGTATTTTGGATGTAGCCAGAGTGTCTGGGGGCTTAGCAAAGGATGGCTTTGGAATAGAATGTCCATGGGGATGATTTGCTCCACCTCAAGTTACGCCAAGGAGGGTCTGCCACTGGGGTAGATGAAGGAAGAGGTAGGAGGAAGAACTAGTTTCCTCAACAAGTAACTCAATTTTTTGGTACCTCACTCCTAACAATGTAGTTCGGTGCTATTAGTCACTTATGGAAAGTAAAAGGACACTCCTTCCTTCATCTTCCCATCTTCATTGTCAGCCTGCCTCCAAATTAGATCTTCTCTCCAAATTAGATACTCTCTCCAAGTAAACAAACAGAACAACATGAATCCTGTGTTTTGTTTTTCAGCTAGTCCTCATTAGCAGAATAATTTTATTTACTCTTTTTGCCAGATGGGTTCCCTGTGATTGAGGATCACTTAACTATTGTGTTGGTTTTTGATAAAAACAATCTCTTAGAGTGAAAACATCTTTTTTTGTAGTGTTTCCCTTTGACCATGGATGATTATAGTAATAATATTGTTACATGTGTGGACTCAAAATATATATGAAATCTTCAGAACAGGCCATTCTTATTTTTAGGAGAGGCTACAGTGCAGTAGCTACAGATTTGTTGACATTATGGCAAAGAAGACAGTTGTGAAGATTTCCCTTAAATTACCTTTCTCACAGTGAGGCCCATAGAATCCATCTGGACATTCACAGACACGTCTTTCGTTGCAAAACCCTCCGTTTCTGCATCCTCCTGGACACTCCGCTTAATAAAATATAACAACAATCTTAAGTGGGTGTTATATACTTCAATCTCTGTCAAGCTGTCAATAGGATCAACTTATTCCTTTGACAGAAGAGGAAAAATATTTGCTGACAGACAGGCAAATGCTGGCAGAAACAGAAGTTCAGATAAGACATCCTAAAGATAAATTAGTTTCCTTTTTGTCAGTCTACAGAGGTTTCAGACAAACACACGATGTGCTTGTTGACAGACAGAGCATTTCCACTGCTCTGCTGCTCTGCAAGTGCACGAGCAACCTGGATGCTCTGCCCAATCCAGCACTTTCTCCTCTGGGGGGAAATGACCAGGCAGCTGAAGCAGGACTTGCCTCGCTGGTTAAACCTGCCCTAGTACACAGGACCAGCTTCACTTCTGCAGCCTTAATTAGACTGTGCTGCAACTTGCATTGCCTTAATTACTACATCTGTTACTACTGGGGTGACAAAGGGATGAAATCTGTAGTCAAATGAAAGAGTCAGCTTCAAGGCTAGATGGTCAGAAAGGAAGATGAAAGCACTCTTACACAGGGGTCCTCTGTCATCATCCAAATCATTTACATCTCAACTCTCGATCAAACACTGGTTAATGCATTTCGCAACACTGGCTGGGTTATGCAAGAATAAGATACACCTCTGGATGCCACCACCATCCTCAAAACACCAGACTCTCTTGAACAAGAAGCAAAACAAATTAAACCCTATGAAACCCCACGGAACCCTGTGAAAACATGACTGCTGTGTAGAAAAGAAAATGCTTAAAAATACCTTCCTAAATATCTCACAGAAAAGAAAGCAGAAAAAGTGAACTAACTAACTCCATTAGAAAAAGTGAACATCACTTGTGATTAGCGTTACAGGGAAGCTTTAGCAGAGTAGGCATAACTTTCTTATCTTAATGCTATGCTGGAAGACACTCCCAAGTGACAAGGTTCAAAAACTCTGAGGTAGACCAATACGTCTCAACCCAAATTCAAAGGCCATCTATTATACAGCAATTGGCTGCAATGTTGGCATCAGTTCCTTTATTTTTTCATTTAGTGTAACACTACTGTAAACATAGTGACTGACATCACCTGCCAACAGCATCCTTGCCTCTTCTCCATTGCCTCAGCAGGAAGTGCTAGCACTTACCATCCCTAGGCTGTAAAGATGTACCATGGATTCACAACAATTCCTAACTGAACAATATTTGAGTTAAAATTGAAGCAGCTATAGCCTTTAAGGTTCTCTTGTTTGAAGTGACAAGGAGTAGCAGGATGTCTCTACATTCAGGAGGGTCAGGTTGCCTGAGATACTTTTGCAGCTCACAGAGCTTCTTTGGACTGTTACTCCTATTAATACAGAGGAAAACATAATCCTGGACTTAAAAAAATTAAATTATTCTCCCTACTTCTAGTATTTGAGTCAGGTGACATATAGTTAGACTCATGCACAAATATACTTTTGTTTTTGAAAATTTATCTAAAAGCTGATTAGAGTCACAGGAAATTATTTCTGCTAGAGCTATGAGCAGTATTCTCTGCACTCATGTAATAGCTCTCTATTCAATGGGGTACAAAGGGTAACTCTGAGACTGAACAAAAGGAAAGAAAATCTGATGTACCAGCCAGGTGGCTGAATGTTGTGTACAACTGCAAAACAAACAGGAAAGAGAAAAGAGGGAAGATGTAATTTTAAAATGTTCTTCTATCCAAGGCCATAGATACATGAAAGAAAAAAAAAAAGTGTTGCTTTGGAATGAACGCTTTTTGCAGCAGTAGTGATAAAGGTAAAGGCTTTTTGATCTTACTCTGTTTCAACACTGCACTCTGGGTGTCTCTGGAAAAGTTTCCTTCTTTGTAACTGAATGCAGAGCTGCTATTCGCAACAGAAAATCCACGCTTAAATAAATACATACCATTTCAAACAGAAAAATAGGAAAACATAATATTTTGTGTGGCTACCTCTTAGCCGCAAGAAAGCCTCTCCTCTCCCACAAAATTGTTCCCTCAGTCCCCTCTCTTCCTCTGGCAGGGGTCCCTCTGGATGACCAAGAATGACTGGAAACAGTGACTAGGGCCCCAGCAGGAGGGATGGGAGCTACTCACCCCAAACAACATCTTTCAGAGGCAGGAAACTCACCCCTACTCTAACACCAACCAGTAAGAACATTCCCTCCTCAGCATCTGTCCCAAAACACTGCAGTGTCCGTCTCAGCAGAGAGAACGCAGGAGTGGGAGTTACACCAGTACATGCTGGGAGAGATGAGGTGAGAAAACTGCTCCTCTGCCCACATCCAGAGTGTGGGAAATCATACCTGCCTCTCTCAGCTGGCTTTGGGAACAAAGGACCAGGACCACAATCACCCCCAGCTTTCCTAAGAGGCCATATGATGCAATACTGCTAAATTGTTAAATATTACACCTCGTAGCAAAACAGTAACAACACTAATAGCACAGAAATTATAACTTGGATAAGTTCTACTACTAAACTGACTGGAGCTCTCTCTGGTTAAGCCCCATTTCTCCACAATACAGACCTGTAACTCTGCTTTCTTTATTAGATTACCCCAACTCTATCTCCAGAGTTTATTAGGTTCAGTATATTGGAATGGAAGTGAAAATGAAAACCCAGCAAAGGTTTTGTGTTGTATTTACAGCAGACAATCAACTTCATACATGATATCTGGTTCATTGTGCTTCCATTAAGACCCCATTTTCCTTCCTGTTTCTCTGCCCATTTCTTCCCCTGCTCCACTTTCCTTGGACCAATTTGCAGCAGCAAGGCTTCAGAGGAGACAAGCAGCTTTGCTATTTAGGTGTAGTGAGGTTTTGAAGACTAAACAACTCCTGCTTCTGCTGCTTGCTCTTTGAAGTCACATTACAGCAAATTAGCTCAGAAAAAAAGAATACAAAGTGTGGTCTGGGAATGAGGGTTTAATAGGAGAAGAATAAAAAACTCAGTCTTTGTACATCAGCCCTGTCATGGCTTAATTTGATACAATTGCATATGACATGGGATACCTGTCTTATCTTAGATACTGATTTTTCTGTTTCCACAGCCTCAGTTTACAGTGATAATTATAGCTTTTTGTAGCATATCAAATGAATCCACTTATAGTGGATTCACATATAGTGTTTATGGTTCATAGAGTGGTTGATTAAACAGGTTGCCCCCTTTTCATGTACACTCTGCAATAACTTCATGCTGCCTGTCTTTACCAGCGCATCCTATGTGTGTTTACTGCTTGATGACTGCAAGCACTGAGGACCAGCTTCCACCTCCTTACCTGTATCCAAAACCAAGAGGTTGCCATCTGAGCTCCACAGAAGGTAAAGTCAACTTTTGTAGAAATTTTCTCATTTGGGATTTTTGCATCTGGTTTGGATGTGCAAGTTGAGACTTAAGGAACTGTTGAACTGATGCATCAAACACTATTAACCGGTCAGTGTCCTCACTACCGATCCCAGAAGTTCAATTCTCCAAATGATGTGCCATTTCTGGAAACATTAGCTTCAGCTTGTACTCATCCCAGGGCTGAGCTCTCCCTTCCTCCAAGCACCTCACATCATTTACTAAGAGGTGCTTCTCATATGATACATGTCTATCAGTGCCCTTGACGTGATGAGCAGTGACCAGGAGCAGAAATACCTCCAACACAGTTTCATAAAGCAGAGGGAGCTGACAGTAAGAAAAGGTTAGTAAACAGGTAGTAAATGAACAGCAAACTGACAGACAGAGCGAGAACAGCCCAGCATTCCCCACCATTGCTACACATTGTATGACCATTTTATTTCTACCTTTTCTAGACCTTATCCTGAATGAAACACAAGACAGTTAGGAGACCTGGTCTAACAGTATTCTGGTATTTTCTCTGTATTGTTACCTTGCTGACAGGTTTTAAAGAAGATGGCATTCTGAGGGGTCTGGAGAATAATATTGCCTTCTGAATTCATTATGATCACGTTCACTTCAAATGCAGCCACCCCATCTTGTTTTCCAAGGCAAGGAAATCCAACCTGAACAACTAGAAGAAAAATAATAACAATAATAGTTACATTAACACGCATATATAGCTATTACATATAAAAGCATATGTTGAAATACAAAAAAAAAATAACTATATATATATATAGCTAATATTTATATTTATGTTTAAAGTAATGCCATTGATGAAAACATGTAACATAGAGATACACAGATCAACTTATTCATAGGCAGTTCCAGGACTGGAAGTATAGCAGCATGGGAGATGAGCCTGTGCTCATTTCCAGTTAAAATCCCAACAGTCTGCAGCACAGACAGTGATCTTAACACAAACATACTTTTGCCCATAGTTGATGCAATCACTCCTGTGGAGGTAAAGGATAAACCAAAACAAGTTGGAAGTGTACACTTAATTTTCTAACCTGAGTCTAAATTTTGCTGGCTCTTATACAACTTCTGCAAAAAATCTTTTAAATTTTGGAAAAAGAAGTTGCTTTAGGTATGCTTTGCTGGTTTCAATATTGCAAGTAATACTTAAATAAGATATTGATTTAATAAAAATTTACTCCATAAAGTGCTGGCAAGATGGTCCACTTGATAAATCAGAACATGGGTGCAAATACTTAAAAAGAAGACTGGGACACATCACTCCAACAGAACTTGTGAAGTGTAGTGATAGTTGGAGATTGCCTTTCCAGGAAAAGTATTCCAATACTTTTGAACTACAAAGTCTTTAAGTAAATAAATAAGGCCAGTAGATCTGGAGTATTTTAGTGAGAAAGTAAATCCGATACCTCAGAGCTATGGAATGCTCCTCTATGATTGTCACAAGTAATCTTAGATAATCTTCAGATGAAATGATTTTATCTCTCTTCTTCAAAATTGGCTTTCCCTAGCTGCTTTGTAAGTTAAAACCAGCTAAAACAAATTGTTTATTCATTTCTTTTGAAGCTGGCCTGATATTTCAGAAACAAATATTGAGCTAACAGCCCTACATTTGGTTTGTTTTAAATTGCCTGTTATAAAAACTTCTGCAAATCATAACTGGGCCATTTTTTCTTATTTGTTGCCTCGGTATTATATAAAATACTTTATTGCTGAAACACATTCAGCTTCTGGTAAGTCCTACAGACTGGAAATACTGATGTACTTTTATTTTTAAAGCAATTTCATTGCTGAAGCACTTTTACACCAATGTTTTAAAAGACCATTACAAAAACCAAGTAACCATGTGGTAAGAAGGAAACCTTCAGCAGATAAAGTACAGTTTAAATCCAGTGAACTTCTTAAACTGTAGCAACCTTCTTACAGTGCAAGTGTAGCAAATCAGTGCTTGTACTAGGATGTGTGTGACTTCGTTGAGCAAATTGCTAAGGGGAGGAGAATATGGCAGATGTAATAGTGACACTATAGTTGTATCTAGACTCACTGAATTGGTAGCAAATTTCCCCTCAGATCTGGCTGTGGGTTTGAATGTCTAGGGCAAAACCAGGAATGCATCTGTTAGGGCTACAGTCTGAGGGGACAGGGCAGAAACCCCTTATTCCAGCACTTTCCAACCTGGAAGCATCCATAGTTTTGAACTTCCCAAATCTCCAGACTCCTAAGCAGACAGAAATGCATTGAAGGACCCTCCTACGTGCAATAAGCACTTGAATTTTGGCTGAGCTCATTGGTGTTTCAGAGTTGAAATAAAGTCCCTAACTTCTGCTCAAATTCCTTCTTTTTTATGCCTGTTTGAATAATGCTAAGCACGCAGGGACAGCAAAACAATCAAAACAAAGCACAGAGCAAAAGTCCTTTGCAGCCAGAGCAATGGCCATGAGCTCCCGTGGCCTGCAGAAGCACTGAGCAGGGCTGTGGGAGGGCAAACCTCAGGTCTTGTCCCCCTCCCCAAATTCAGGATGCAATTTACATTTGCCCATCAGTGGTTAAAAACAAGGAGAGGGAATCACAGCTCGGGGCTTTACACTGCTGGCCACCATCCCATCAGCCACAGAACTGTCTCTCTTGCAGGCTTAGACTTCTGCACCCAGGGCTGCAGAGCAGAGACCTCTAGCCAGAGTGAGGAAAATGTAACTAATGGCTCACTGTTAGATAGTGTACATGCTTCAAATACCGTACATGTACTGCTTAATAATCGTTCTTAAACACCAGAGTCTCTTTAATGCCAAGCAGGACTTAAATACAGTTTATATATACTAAGCACAGTGGTTTGCTGCACATGATCCACGTAAAAAAACACCATGGACATGCCCATATTAGTCCTAGAACAGAGGTACCAGTGCTGTAAACAGGGTAAGTCCTCTTTGGCTTTAATCACACCCCTCATCATGATGGTTAACAGACCTTCTGCTGGAACTATGAGATCTCATCTCCAGCCTCCTGCACTTGTAGGTTATGTTTTCCTAAACACAGTTAGAAGGGGGTCATTTTGGTCTAGCATTTCTAGATAGTTAAAAATTAAAGGAGAAACTAGCTTATATTAGAGGATGCTGAATGCAGAGCTTTCCACATATCTCACCTGGAGATGGAAAGAATATTTAACAAGAACTTTGCCTTTGTGAGAGATCTGTGGCTGTTTAGTTTATAGAAGAGAAGACTGAGAGGGGATCTTATTGATGTATATAAATATCTGAAGGGTGGGTGTCAAGGAGGGGCAAATCTCTTTTCAGTCGTGCTGTGATAGGACAAAAGGTAATGAATGCAAACTGGAGCACAGGAAGTTCCACCTCAACATGAGGAAAAACTTATTTTCTATGAGGGTTACAGAGCACTGGAACAGGCTGCCCAGAGAGGTTGTGGAGTCTCCTACTCTGGAGACTTTCAAGACCTGTCTGGATGTGTTCCTGTGTGACCTGCTCTAGATTCTGTGATGATCCTGCTCTGGCAGGGGGGTTTGGACTCAATGATCTCCAGAGGTCCCTTCCAACTCCTACCATTCTCTGATTCCGTGATTCTGTGACTTTTTAATTACTTTTACACGCTTTGTTTGCCAATTTATCAGGCTTGCAACCAATTAAATTCCAGCAATTATGGTACAAATATTAGAGCACTCTTCACCCAAAACCATTTTCAATATCACTCATTTGATTCACACTGAATGGAGAAACCAATCATTTATGCTAAATTCCAGGTGCCACAGCAAAAAGCTGTGCAGCAACTCATTTCAGTGCCATTCTACTACAAGTTTAAAATGGAGGATATAAAATTCAAATGTTCAGAATTTATACACTGAAAAAGGGAAGAGAAGAAGACTGGTCAAAGATGTAAACCTGTATATCAGTGCACCAATTACAGCCCCATCCTCCTGTTCCATTTTTCCCATTTTATCCCACATGGCTTTAGGGTGGCTAAGGCTGATCATGAAACCATGATCACTAAGACACTACTGTCACCCAGATGCACATTTCTGCCTTTCTGCCAGACACTACTATGTATTAACCCTGGAACAGATCATGTAGACTGTTATTAATCCACTTCAAAGCAAAGTGAATTCTACAATCTCTCAAGGAAAGTTTTTTTTTACTCCACACAGGTCACGATGCACTGTGATGCTTCTGGGGCACTTGCACCAGCTTGGGCTCAGCTTCGGCTGTGGAGATGTAAGCTCCAGTGAGGCACTAAGAATGCACAACTAAGGGAAAAGTGGTAAATGATAATATCCTAAAGGAGAACTTGTGTGTTTGAGCTGAATGCCTAACGCCAACAGCTGACTCCAACTGAAAGTAAAATGTCCACAAACTGCAACCTCTGAGAAACAGAATAGTTGGGTACTGATTCCTTACAGTGATCAAAGATTCTGTTTTCCAAAAGTTGCACAACTTAAGTAATAATATTTATGCATATGGATTTCACGCCACATTTTTGCACAATTTTCCACTGACTTATCTACACATAAAAGCTTCATGTAACTTGGTTCAGACAAAATATGCTGTTGTAGCCAGGCAAGGCACTCAGAAACTGTTCAGTATCAAGCACAGTGGCAAGCATTTCTTTAGCAATAAACTTCAGAACTGCAATTCTTCATAAAATATTTAGACTTTACTGGTTGTGGAATACTTTTCACAGGAACACAAATCAGAATATCAACAGCACAAACCTGATGCTTTATGAGGAACTGTTCCAAGCAGAGGAATATTTATAGTTGGATCAGCCATTATGCCTTTATCCAAAGAGCGCAAAGACAGGAACTCATAGAAGTACTCAGCCTATGATAAAATAAATGAAAAATCTATGTGTATTTTAATTGCATTCACAGAAGCAAACTATTTAGCATATAAACTACAGCAGAATCATACTACACTTTTCATTATGTTATTCACTGGATTTGTTTCCATGATTTTCCTGAGTGCTTCTTTGCCTAAGCATAATTTTCAGATAATTTCCTCTTATTTCAGAGACTGCAAATGACCATGCAGTCATCAGGATGCAGCATAACAGCAAGGAAAATGGCATGCATACAGTGAACAAAAGTTACCCAGAGAAGACATTTTTTACAACCCACACCTTTTATCTGACAGACCACAAAAACAGTAAGCTAATTCTTAGAGCTGTGGTTTTTCTGGGCAGACTCCTCCTGGAACTGATTGGTGAGCCTGGATGACCTGCCTGCATCACGAGTGCAGCACTCACATGGATGCCACCAACTGTGGCATGAGAATATCTGAGTTTGCTCTTGGTTGATCTGCATAGCACAGCTCATCGCCTTGGGGAAGCAGTGCTGGGCAACAAACAGCCACAGTGCTGGGGTGCCATGCTGGGACACATATCTTGCTCAAAGCTCTGACACTGCCTTGTTCAACCTCAGTTCATTAAGCTGTTCCAAGGGTGGAGCTGAGAGCTTTCCTACAGAGTTGGCTTCATGTCACTCATTATTAACTGCAAGACAAATGATTTATTTTGGCAAACCCTAAAAGGTGTTGGCATGATTTAAAGACTACTTTCCACCACCTTCACCCTACCCCTGGTATGCACCTGCCTTGTGGCATAGATTGTAGGCTTTGGTACCCTCTTTCAGGGGACCCTGGCCTCTCTGTTGAGCTGTCCAATATTTCTTCATACTTGAAGCAAAGTGATGTCACGCATCTGCAGTGTAGCTGTGCACCATGTACACCATCTTAGCAAGTCACTGGAGACGTCCACTACTGTTAATGGCATGACTGCTGGTGTTCAGAGCAAGTGGAAATGAACCTTTTCCCTAAATTAATTTATCCTGAAACATATGAGGGATCACAGGTAATTGTACCTGCTGCTCTCAGAAAAGAACCCGAGACCTTAGCATAGGCACTGCCAAAAATGTGTCTTCATCCAGCAACTCATTGATGGTAGAAAGTATTGTAGTATTTGTTTTTTAACAAAGAGAGATTAGAGCCAACATTTTATGAGAACCTTGGATTGATAAATGGTAGTTATTTTATGTCTACAATATAGCAGTCAATGTCCTTAGCCCGAAGACTGTCCATTTCCAGCTGTAGGACCCTCGCTCCCTAGTGCAAGGAAGCCATGGACTTACTGGATTGAGACCAGTGAAGAGCCACAAAGATGGTCAAGGGACTAGGGTGTCTGAGATCCAGGGAGAGGCTGAGAGAGCTGGGACCATTCAGTCTGGTGAAGTCTGAGGGGCAATTTAATCAATGTGTATAAATAGCTGACAGAGGATGTAAAGAAGATGAAGCCAGGCTCTGCTCAGCAGTATCCGGCGACAGGTTGGGAGGCAATGGGCACAATACAGAAAACTCCATCTGAACCTCCAAAAGCACCTTTTTACTGAGTGGGTGACTGAGCACTGCAACAGGTTGCCCAGAGACGTTGTGGAGCTTCCATTGGTGAAGATATTCAAAACCCAACTCAACACAGCAAGCAGCTGTAGGTGACCCAGCTTGAGGAGTGAGGTGGTACTAAATCATCTGAAGATCAGATTTTTTGGTCTCAAATCTGCCTTAGCTTTTCTGTGATGCTGTGTTGGGCTGACTTGGGCCAAATGTCAGCATATGAGAGACCATCTCCCTTTAGCTCCTGGTGATACCAGGAAAGCAGTCACAAGCTTTGGTGGGTAGAAAGGTCCTGAAATTCCTGATCAGCTTTGGCAACACATCCACTTGCTGTAGAGGGACAGAAAGGAGACCCCAAACCACACACAGGGGCTACACTCTGCACAGATGGTCTTCACAGGGTGTTGTGTAGGCATAGAGACCTCAGAGGAGGACTCGCAAAACAATGGAGAAGGAAGTGATGAAAGTTTTAAAGGGTGGGTAAACACATGGAGTGTATGTGGGAGGGAGAGGGGACATGGAGAGAAGTAGTAAAACAGGAGATCAAAATTAAAGTCTGGGGTAATGTTCAAAAGGCTGCTTTTAATTAAAGACATTTTTTTCCAATACAATATACCATGCCAAAATATGAAAACAAGCCATAAAGTCAGATTGTGAACATTTTTGTTTTCAAATAAAACTTTGGTACAGAAAAATAATTATATGTCCCCACACATCTATAGAATAGTACAGTGAGTGAGCCAATGCTGCACTGTCTGTTTCTCATTGGTTAGCTTTGATGTTTGGTTATATCTAAACCAGGTCATAATGGGTTGGGATATTAAAACATTATGTTCTTACTATTCTAGTAAACAACAACTGGTAACTAGACCAAACAGCTCCACTCCCAGATTTCCATTCCAGCCACACTGTTGTAGCAGATCAGCTTATGAGCCAGAGCTCTTATTTGCAGGGAAGGAACTGGAATCCCATTTTCTACAGTTAAAATGATGCCTAAGGACAAAAACCCAAAAAAAAAAAAAAAAGTTTGGTGTGGGAAAGGGGACTGATTGCTACATAAGCCACAACACTCACTGCCTTTCAAGGAAGGAATTCCTCTAACCAAAGCAGAGGCATAGCAGGGATTAGTGCCTGAGGCAGGAGTACATTTTGCTCACACATGAAAAAAATGAGAAGAGACATTGCCCAAGTAACAGGCTGCTCAGGAGGAAAACCACCACACATTGCACTGGGAGCAGACAGCTGCTCTCACAGTTTCTGTACCAAGGTTGGCACATCTGCTGAGCTGACAAAAACTGAACTTCTCAAAATGGTAGTACCTAAGAAGACCTGAAACACCTCAGGTAGATACGCTTAGCATGACTTCACAGTTATGAGCCTATGTGCTGCAGAGTATGTTTGCAAATCTAAAAATTATATAAAAAAATCACAGTCCAGAGAGGCTGCAGAGTGGAGCAGAGCAGTTTAACTGAAACAAGATTTGGCTGTCATAAATCCTACCTATTTGGAAAAAAACCTGTCTTGACACAATCCCTACATCCAGTTTCCATTACTGTCCTGCTGTAATTTGACTTGATTGCTAATTAACTTGCATTAATCATCATGACTGAAAAGCAAACAAGACACTCTCAGCAAATATTTACCCTGCTCCAGCCTAGCATGAAATTTAGTCATGATGGCTAATTGAAGAGATAGGTCTGTGCAATTAAAATATTGTCTAGTGACTACCACAATTTGTGCTGTAAACTGGCATTGTGAGTGACCTGATAGCGAGAATAAAATTTCCTGTTGTTGAGAGATGAAGGGGAAAGCCTCATAATCTATAATCCCTTTTCCATTAGAAAAACATTATTGTGACTTTTTGGGTTTTTTTAAGCCAGTTTATGAACTGTCTGGCATGTGAGGGGCCAGGTCCTGAAGTTAAATCTTAGAGGGATGGTTGTTATCAGAGGTGATGGAGGAAACAGGGTTTGAGATAGATTGTTGATCTTTAACATACACGCACTTTTTTATTTCGGCTAAATTTCAAGAAGCACCGAAGAAGAAAATGCTTTAATTTTGTGTAAAGACTTTGTTTGAGATCCTCAGAAACTGAGGCAAGGGCCCCTGCAGACCTTGTGTGAAGAGTCTGGGGACTGGGTGCCTTCAGGCAGCAGGTAGCCCAGTGCAGCTGCCCTTTAACCAGTCCACATGTGGGCAAAGCCCTCAGCAAAGGGAAGAAATTTTGGTTTAGGCTAATAATTTCATGGTTGGGATTAACTTTTATGGACTTTTAATGGCCATTTTCTATAAATCAGAGGAATTTAAAAGGTTATAAAAATAACTAAGCCCACTAACAAGTATTGCAGCAAACATCTGTTGGCAGTTTAGTTTTAAATGATACACACTTAAAATTCCTACAGGACTCCACTCCTAAGTACAAGAACTACTGCATTAGGGTTTTCTTATCATTCAGATGCCATATTCTACCTACCTTGGTTTTATCTCATATTTAATCAAAGCATTGACAGGAATGTGCTTTATGTTCTCTTCATTTTACGTTAAAAATGTAGGATTAGAAGTAATGGTAGTACCTGAAAGTGAAGCAGAGTAGCTTACACTGTTGCATGTCAGAGATCAGTAACCTAAGGAAATCTGCAGCCCTTCTAACCAAGAAAAGAGAATGTGTGTTAGCTTTGCAAGTAGATGTAAGAAATTACCTAAATTTTCTTCTCATTATTTTAAAGATATCAGTACTGAATGTTCTATTCTGCTATAAATTAAAAGCCAAATATACCCTAATGCAAATTTTCTACATTTAAAGAAATAAACTAATTAAAAATTTCCTTTTTATCCCAAATCTATGGATCTTTCTGGCTATTCAGATGCTAGAAGATTCTAGCATAGGAGATGCTCACAGCTGCATATGACATAAATAAAATCACAAAGTAAGGCAATGTATGTGTTTGTTAGGTGTTTACAGCATGGACCATTGCCCCTCCAAGATATTAACTCTATTGGGTCAGAGAAGTTGTTCCATCTGTGTTCGAAGATGAAGCATGAAGCAAAATGAGATGAATTTCAACCAAGAGGAGAGACTGTACCCATACTGTGTGTACTGGGCTATTGAAGGAGTCTGGCCAGAGTAGGAGTGTTACGTGAGCAGCACATTTTGTTACTGTGGTGCAGTCTAGACACTGCTGTAATGAAGAACATGATGCCTCCTTAGACACACAGATAATAAACTGCCTACCTCGCTTTATTCAGAAGCAAAAGAGGAAGCAAGAGAGCACACCTCCCAATATTTATGTTTTCTTGTTTAACAGGTTTTCTGCATCCTATTTTATTCCTGCTTTTCTAGAGGCACTTTTGGGAAAATTAAGCTAAAAGGAGGCAATATTATTAGGGTTCTGATAAATATGCACAATTACATTGTGAAAATCTTTAGCAAG